ATTCCAAGCAATGGAGTTGCCATTGTGATGAAGTTTATCGGCTTCACCTTTTGGAAGAACCATGGGAAGTTCACCTGGATGTAAGCAATGGCAAATGTCTGAACCAATCCTCCCAATGAATGCCCAATAAAGGAAATCTTCTTGACGTCTTCATTGTACAGCTGTTGTATGATGTACTCGCCAACTTTACTACCCAGATATTTCACTCCAAGCTCTGTCTTACAGTTGTTACCATGGAACCCTCTCACCAGAAGCTCCTCATCATCGCCATGCTCCACCTTGTCGATCTGTTCCTTTATATAGAACAGATCTGCCCCTGTGTTGCTGTGCAATCCATGTGTCAAGATCACCAAGTGCACTGGCTTCCCTCTTGAATGATGCGGTAGGTTCCATAGATCCATGGTATCCTGTCTATTCACAGTGAGTCGAGGATCAAAGGAGCCCAGCTTGTCAGTGCTCAGATTCAGACACTCCTTGTTCAAGCCTATCAAGACCTCAAACGCCACCTCTGACGTGGAGCTGAAGATGATCTGGCTAACAACATCCACCGTCCACACGTACTTGTCTTTGATTGTATGCAATGATAGCTCACATATGAACTTCTGCGATGGGCTCAGATTGGGCTCAAACTTTGGCTGATCCAGAGTAACAAACGTGGGCTTGTTCTTATCGTACTCACCAGGCGTCACGTCTGTATACAGAATGTACGGGCCTCTGAGAAAGGCAGCTCGTGTAGCAACAGACTCAGTATTGCGCACCTTGAGCCATAGACTATCAACGTTGCGGTTCTTCAGCTCTTCCTTGGGCTCAAACGTGATGACGTAGCGTTGCAACTCGCCAGCTTTGACCGTTCGCCTTGAGCAGTAGATCAAGTCGCCCTCGCTCATCACCAACGCTGTGCCAATTGATACTGTGCTGCTGTCTGAAATCGTCCTTAGCGAGAGTAAACGAGCTCATCGTGATGAAACTCGGGTAAGGGAAAGCTTTTCGGAGTTACCCGGAATTATCCGGAATTACAAGGAGTTAAGCGCACACTCATCAGGCATCATCACTATATACAAGAACAAACTACAACGATATCTATGAACCCTGGTTCTCCAGCTCCTCCAGCAGGCTCTTGGACTTCTCCTGTGCTTCGTGCTGCTCCAAAACATCCACCAATTGGTCGAGCTTCTCGCCACTCATGACACCATCGATGTCATGGAGCGAATAACCACAACGGTGGTCTGTGATTCTGTTCTGAGGGAAGTTGTACGTTCTGATCTTATCACTTCTGTCTGTCGACGTCACTTGGTCCTTTCTCTTCTTGCGTTCCTCTGCCTCCATCTGTACCCTTTCGAGCTCTGCCAGCCTGGCCCTCAGGATCTGGAAGGCCTTTGCCTTGTTCTTATGCTGTGATCTCTCATCTTGCATGCTGACGGTGATCCCTGTTGGGATGTGAGTGAGTCTCACTGCTGATTCCGTTGTGTTCACGTGCTGTCCACCTTTACCACTTGCCCTCATGACGTCGATTCTCACCTCTCCGGCTGCAAACGAGCGTTCATCAGCGTCCTCTGCCTGTCCCTTGGAGCTCATCTGTGGGAGCACCACCACTGCGCTCGTCGAAGTCTGCGTACGACCTTTGTTCTCTGTCTCTGGGATCCTCTGGACTCTGTGGACCCCGGCCTCGAATCTCAGCCTGTCGTACGCCCCAGGCTCGTCTATCGAGATGATGCCCTCGAGAAGCCCGTTCCCCTGCTGGTTAACAGACTTGGAGACGATGGAGTATGGCCATCTGTGCGTATTAGCATATCCCAAATACATGTTGAATAGATCCTGGGTGAATATCATAGCCTCGACACCACCGACACCCGGTCTGAGCTCCAGAATCGCCGGTCTGTCTGCGAATGGATGTGGTGGTAACAACTTGGTCTGTAGCTTCTCAGTGATGGACACCAGCTGTGGTAAAACCGTCTCAATCTCCTGTTCCGCATCATCTTTCAGAGACGCATCTGTCAAGAGCGAGTTCAGCTCGTCGTACTCTGCGAGCTTCTCGGTGTACTCCTTGTACACATCGACAACGGATGAGAGCTTCGAGAACTTCTTCTGCTGGTTCAAATCAAACCCATCGCTCATCTGGTGCTCCAGCTCCGCATGCTCTTTAGACAGCAGATCTGCCCTTTTCAGCAGAAGAGGGTGGATAGGAACGAATGTGCTCTCCAGTCTGAGCCCAATTCTCCGAGGAATTGAGCATTTTATAGCGTTGAACATCTCGTCTCGTCCTCTTCAGCCTGTTTCGATGTTGATGTTCTGACGAGACATAATTGCAGTACAATTTTTCACTTTTCCCCCCGACAACGCTTCAACAACGGCAACGAGCAAGAGGAAACGTCCAATTGAAGGCGATGTCATACACTAAAGGCGAGTCCACTGGTGCACATTGACCATGAGAACGTACTAACACAGCCTACAGCGAAGAAAGTTGGTGAGGGTACCTATGCCGTGGTGTTTCTCGGGAAGCAGACCTCAACTGAACGGGATATCGCCATAAAGGAGATTAAGACAGGCCAGTTCAAGGACGGACTGGACATGTCTGCCCTACGTGAGGTGAAGTATCTTCAAGAGCTGAAACACGTCAACGTGATTGAGCTCGTGGATGTGTTTGAATCAGCGAATAACCTGAACCTGGTGCTGGAGTTCTTACCATCTGATTTGGAAGTGCTGATTAAGGATAGGACATTATTGTTCTCACCAGGTGACGTGAAGAGCTGGTTGTTGATGACTTTGAGAGGTGTGCATCATTGTCATAGAAACTTCATTCTGCATCGAGATCTCAAGCCGTCGAATCTGCTGTTGTCGCAGTCTGGGGAGCTGAAGATTGCGGATTTTGGTCTTGCGAGGTCGTTGGGCTCACCAAACGAGGAGTTCACGTCGAATGTTGTCACTCGTTGGTATAGGGCTCCAGAGCTTCTGCTCGGTGCGAAGCACTACGACGGTGGTGTGGATATCTGGGCAGTGGGGATTATCTTTGCGGAGTTGATGCTTCGTGTTCCATACCTCCCGGGAGCTGATGATATTGATCAGATTGATGTAACCTTCAGGGCCCTGGGCACTCCAACTGACTCGATGTGGGAGCTTGTATCGACCCTTCCTGGCTATAACAACTTGACTGTTTATCCACAGCCTACAAAGCAAGAGCTACGGAAGCGATTCATCGCTGCTACTGAGTCCGCACTGGACCTGATGAACGGTATGTTAAGCTTAAACCCAAGGAAAAGATGGAACTCTTCGAAATGTCTCTTGAGCGAATACTTTTTGGAGAATCCTGCTCCCACGGAGCCTTCGAATCTACCCAAAGTTGGTTAACACATCTGTGCAACGTGTTTGCCAATGGCAAACGATGCTGTTAGTCCAGGGCTTTCTATTCCCAAGAGGTTGATGAACCCAGGGAACCCTTCCTCTTCTCTGATGATGAAATCTTGAAACTCCTTGGAGTCAGGACCGGCAAGTTTAGGTCTAATGCCGCAGTAACTTGTCTCCAGGTCCTCGTACATGACGTGTGGCAGGTATCTGAGAATAGCTTCGTGTGCTGCCTTCTTGTTGTGGTCATTTGGCTTCAAGTCGGTAGGGTCGTCAATCCACTCAACATCAGGGCCAAATTTAATCTGTCCTTCTAATCCAATGGTCAGATGGGTGCCTAAACCCTGTAGTCCCTTTGTAGGCACCGGGTACACCAACCTTCTCACCTCAGGGAAGGAATTGTTGAAGTTGAAGTAGTTACCTTTGGCGTACCAGTACTTGACATGACGGTCCTCTGGCAACAGCATGTTGGAGACCTGGTTGGCGTATAAACCGGCAGAGTTTATAACGTTATCCACCTCGATATCAACGTGCTCGCCGTCTAACGAGTCGACGGAGATCTTATAGCCACCGTGTACCCTTTCCAGCCCAGTCACCTTGGAGCCCACGGCAATCTCACCACCGTTATTCTCAAACGTGGTCTGGTAGAAGAGCATCAGCGAGTGCGCACTGACGATGCCCGACGTTGGCGAGCTCAGCACGCCTCGACGGACATCAACAGCCGGCTCGATGTACTTCGCCTTCAACGTAGATATCAACTCGGTCTTGATCCCCAGCTCCTTGGCCTTGTAGTGCATGCTCTCTATAAAGGCATCTTCAACGTCAGTCTGCGCAACAATCCACTTCCCGCACTTCTGCATCTCAACACCGGCTCTCTTCGCCTCAGAGTAGATCAATTGCTTGCCCTCGACACACAGCTTGGTCTTCAGCGAGCCCACAGGGTAGTACAGCCCGGCGTGGATCACCTCTGAGTTTCTAGAGGACGTCTCCTGGCCAACGTCTTTGTTCTTCTCTATCAGAATCACACGGTTGTCCTGGCGCTTGCTCAGCTCAGAGGCAATCGCCAGTCCCACGGCTCCTCCACCAATCACAGCGTGCGAGTACTCTGACGGCCTGGAAACGGTCGTGGAGAACAGTCTTACACAGCGAATCATCGGTTTAATGGTCTTAGCTCCTCGAAGAAACACACTGGCGATGTTGGAGGAGGTGAATTTTGTGGGGGGACAGCCCCCCCCCCCCCGGCTAAATTCCTCAGTCCCATTCTGCTTTTTCGCTCTTCAGCTCCTTCAGTCTGGCGAGCGGAGTCTGTGGGAAAGGACTAGAGGGACTAGAGGGACTAGAAGGACTTGGAGGACTAGAAGGACTAGAACAACAACATGAGCTCCGTGGTGAAGAGGTTCTTTACCAGCAGGCCACCGTTCTACGAGGTCATACCAAAGAAGAAGGTGATGAACAGAATCCTGTTTGATCTGGACGCAAAGCATTCCTTCAACAAGCTGTACCCTGTGTATGAGTCCATCTACAAGAAGCTGGACGGCGATGGCGAGGCCGAGATCCCTGCTAAGATCACGGCGAACGACCTGATGGTGATGAAGAGGGCGCTGGAGACTGTGAGGGTGCAGTCCCACTCGACCAACAAGCACCTGGTGTCGCTGGAGAACTCGCTGGTGGAGTACGCTGCGGAGCGTGGCAACAACGACGCTGTGTCGTTGTTGGCGTATGAAGCTCTCCTGGGCAACGACGAGGAGGATAAGCAGCACGCGAAGAAGCTGATATCGAAGCTGCTGGAGATGAAGCACCCTCTCACGGTGAAGCTCAGCGGCGACCTGTGCCTGAGGAACAAGATGAACCAACAAGCGGAGCAGTTCTACCTCGATTTCATCGCGCTGGAAGACGACACCTTCTTAGCGTCAGAGGTGTTCAAGCAGCTGGGTATCCTCAGCTTCCAGAAGCCGGACCTGATCCAGGCTCGCCATTGGTTCTCTCGTAGTGTGAAGACGGGTCCCTTGGACAAAGTGGCTGAATGTCATTACTACTTGGGCCAGTTAAACGGCTTTGATCCAAAGAGATCGAGGTACCACTTGGAAGCTGCTGCTTCGCAGGGGTTCAAGGAATCCTTCAAGCAGTTGGGGTTTCTGGAACTTAACCAGTTTGGGAACGTTAGCAAGGCTACTGAGTGGTTCAAACTCGGTACTGAATTAGGTGATGTGGACTGCGTTGTCGGGCTCTTTGACTGCTTTATGAAGGAGAACAAGTTCAAGATGGCTTATGGAGCGTACACCACTCTGAAGCAAAATGAACCGGCTTTCGAGCATTTCACAGAGACGAGGACAAAGAGCATTGCCCTGATGAACGAGAACTACACACCTTTGAAGAATACGATGGCCAACATTGAAAAGTTTCAACAGAGTGAATCTACAGCTGTCAATGATAACGACAGATGGAATATTTAAATACATACGCCTCTTTATTCCCATGGCCATTTGCAATATACAATGACATCGCCGTTTCTTCTATCATCCCAGTGAAAGTACGAGTTGAAGAATCTGGTACACTCCTCGTAAGGTGAATCTTTCAGGTATTCCTTCATCACGGGCTCCAGTGCTTCAAAGAATACCAAATGAGTAGGCCATTCATACTTGTACTCACGTCCAGGAGTTCTTAACTTTTTATTGAACGGAGGTGGGAAGTTCTCATGGAGGAATTTCACTGGATTGTCGTAGAAATAGTCAGATTCATCCATGTATGCATCGATTTCGTGTTTAGAATGGTTGTCTCCATCCAGCAGATGCAATGGAGGTTCACAAGTGAGGAACCACGCTTCCAAATCTGGCCTATGGAGATGAGATTGCCATGGAGTTGAATGGCATGGCATTAAAAATCCCAGGGACTGAGCATCTGGGTCTGTTTTCAAATAGTCGATAACTTTGATGACACCACTCTCGTGCCATTGTGTAAAGAAGAGTGAAATGCAAGTGTTGACCATCATGATGCCAATAATCGAATTCGTCACCAAAGTACTGTGGTGTAAGTACAAATGGTATGAGCCAAAAGCAGTGAGAATAAGCATGAAAGGTTGTAGAGGTAGGATGAATCTGAACTCCTTATGATCAATGGCAGAAAATGCTGCGAGTACGAGTAATATGATCCATTTCAGCCCGGTATAAGGTGCCTTAATCAGCCCGTATACGAAGAAGGGAAGATAGAGCATCAACATTAACGGAACACTTTGAAGTATGTGGAAGTGCCATGGTGCAACGCCATAGAATCTTGACAGTGAGGCCAACGCGTTGAACTTGATGAAGTTCCACATTGGGAATACCAATTCCCCGTAGTATAGATAGTCTATTACGGTGTTTATGGCTCCAACCACTATGCCGATCACCAAAGCGAACAGCACACTTTGCAGGCGGTTAGTCCAGGATAACTTCCAAAGAAATTGAATTGCCAAAATCAACCATATAAGCCCATTTGTTGGTCTGATGAAACAACTCCATGCAGCCAATGTTAGACTTATTCCAAAACCTCTCCAGTTGATGCTCTTTGAATTCCAAGGCCAATGGCTCAGAGACGCCGTTATCAGCGTAAGCTCAAGGCTATTACTGAACGTTCTCGTTAGACAGAACCAGTTAAATGCTGAAATGACACTGAGAAACAGTGTACCCCTGGCGATGATCTCATTCTTTGTCAGCGAGTATGCAAACTTGTACAAATACCACTCACCAATAGCGCAAACCACTCCCTGTGTCAATTTGGGCATGTATACAACACCAATCTCACCCAAATCGAGCAACTCACAGAGCTTGTAAACCAGTGCGAAGAGCAAAGGATGGACAAACGACCTCAGTCCTTCACGCCATTCCCAGGTCAGATACCCATAGCCAAACACCAGCGCATGAGCAGGTTCCAGCGATTGCCAATATTCGTCCGCCTGGAAGAAAGTGTTTATAGTCACCGCATTGATACATCTGAGTATAATGAGATAAGGCAACACAACCTCTTTCGGGAGGCGTTGTTGGGTTGTGCTCGTCATTCGGCAACCGATAACGTCGATGATCCTCATAGTGGTTGGTTGATGCCAGAGGCTGAATTTTTCCTCGGAGATTCCACTGCAACAACACAACTCACTCTCCAAGCTACAAGTTTCAAATATGTCTTGATCAATGGTTTACTCTATACCGTATATATCTATATAAATATCAAGAAAATGTTCACCACAAGCGAACCAGCTATCAGACCTTATTCCCTACAACTAACAAGAGCCGTAGAAGAGGAAGCCAACAGCCGGATTATACATGGTGACAGTGAAAATCACTCTTCTTCCAGCCATTTGTGCATAACTAACACATCTGTGGTAGATGGACCGTAAAGATCAAAATACCGTGAATACGCTGGTAATCCGGAAGTGTAGTTAAAATATGTTGAAGAAGAGAGAAAAGAGACATGTGAAAGGAAGTTGGAAGCCAGCGTGTGGTGAAGAAAATTTTTGTACGCTGGCGAGGGGTGGTGTCCGGGTGATCTAGCAAGAGGTGGTGTCCGGGTGGGATGTCCGGATGTTGTGGTGTACGGATGGCTTATGACAGGTTATCGATGCTGCTACGGTTAGGGCTTTCACTCTTTGGGCTCGTTGGTGTTATAACAGTAACAAAGGTTTCATTTACGGCATACCGGTGCATTCCCAGTCCGTTGGCTCGTGGACTTCTGGGTGGCTGATCTTCTCAACTTCGTCTGGGGTCAGCTCGAAGTCATAGACTTCCAAATTTGAGCGCAATCTATCAATGTTGGACGATTTTGGAAGTGGAATGTTCCCCTTTTGCAAGTTCCAACGGATCAAAACCTGGGCTGAAGACACCTTGTACTTCTTTGCAATAGAGACGACTGTTGGGTCACGTAGTTTCTCGCCGTGTGCCAGAGGCGAATAAGCCTCTATCTGGATACCCTTAGATTTACAGTAATCAGTCAACTCCTGTCTCATACACCATGGGTGGACCTCGATCTGGTTGACGGCAGGCTCAATCTTGAACCCATCCCATTCGTACAAGTTGTCAATGTGGTGCTTGCCCCAGGATGAGATACCAATGGACTTGACTTTCCCGCTTTCAACAGCCTCCTGCAGAGCTCTCCACGCCTCTCTTCTAGCAGTTGGTCCGCCCATAGGAGAGTGTAACAACAGCAGATCAATGTAGCCCAGGGTATCGTCAATCTCTCCCAATGCGGCCTCGATCTCCTTCTTCGCTCTCGCGTATGTGTCAAATGTCCACAGCTTTGACGTGTAGAACACGTCGGATCTCTGTCTGCCAGAATCCTCGCTCAACCACTTCGCAATCCCTTCTCCCACGGCTCGTTCATTCTGGTAGTATATTGCTGTATCGAAATGCCTATACCCAGCTTCCAAGGCCTTGTAAACAACGCTCGGTGCCGCTGACGAAGGGATAAGCCACGTACCCAGCCCGATTGTTGGAATAGTGTAGCCGGAGTTGAGTTTGATAGTTTTCTGAACTGACATTTGGTGAAGTCCTAATCTCCCAGTAATTGATGGATCCTGAAGCCAAACAAAGAAATGGTTAATTCAAGGCTACGATATCTGTAACTCCTCCTCTTGTTTCAATCTCCCTCCCGGTCCCAGTCGGCTAAATTGCGGCTCGATTATTGATCGCCCTCCTTAGCGCGTAAAGCCGCCCTTGTTTTGCCCTAAAGCGGTATAAATTTTCGTTGCTCCGGCTACACAATGGTTAACTCGGCAATTTGGCAGTAACGACAGCAACCAGACAGCATTGAACAATATTGAACAATACAATCAATAAATACAGTGAAACCACACAAATTGTGGTTTGATTGTCTCTTTGAAAGAGCTTAGAGCTTATATAATTGCCAGAATATATATATATATATATAGCGTTATAGCATGGTATAAAGGGTATCATCGCGATAGTCAGCGACAGTCTCACCACGCCCAGATGATAGTCCCAGTGACGGTGAGCCAGTATGCCTCTGTTCACTTGATGGAAGATTGGCACTCGTTTGGTATCGTAGATTGTTTGCCAGTGGTGAGCGAAGATACGGAGCTACCGAGGGACTTGACGTGCGCACTGTGTAGTGGCTTGTGCCTGTACTTGTACCAGTGCCTGCACCTGTACTTGCGTGTCTAACCATTGGAGGTGTGTTATGGCTTGAACCGCTTGATGTCGGCTTCAGCGAGGAGTGTGATGAGACTGCGCCTCTGGAGAGCATCAGCCCAGAAGCTGCAGATGAATGGTTTGACATTGGAGAGTCAATTACACCTCCAAGCTCGAGTTTCTGTTCATAGTAGGAGGAACGGCCCATGGGGATTGAATAGTCCTGGAACTCACGGTCAGCCTCCAAAGTCTCCTCCACGCTGTGGCACTCCTTGCGTGAAGGGGATCTCTTTGGAGTGGGAGTTGTTGAAGAGCTTAGAGACTTGAAAATGGAGCCAAAGGATATCGTTCTTTGCGGTGTCTTTGGCGACTCCCGTGGTGTCCCCTCGATGCTTATATACTCAACTTTGTTCATAAACGGTGGATTGCGGACCTTTGACATTTCGATGGTATTTTGATGTATGGGGCCCGTTGGTGATGAACAAATCGCCTCTGGAGAAGGCATTGCAACTTCCGGTTGAAATGGATCCATCAGTGCGCTGGTGCTCGATGAGACAGTCTCAGAGTTAGGGGTATCGTCTGATTGATCCATGACACTGTTGTTGAACTCGTAGGCAAAAGATGGGGACGCTGGTGGGGAGGGAAGAAACCTTGGTCTCGTTGGTGATCCTTGGCGTAGCGAGGCTCTGTTGGATTTACATACCTGTGTTCTCTTGTGGAAAGTCATCATCTCCTCAAGGTCAACTCCAAAGTTCAGCGAATTACGTTGAACCTCGTTGTACAATTCTTTTGAAGTGGACGATTCTGGGCTCTTTCTCTTCGTGGTGCTGATATTCCTGTCAAAGTTCTCCTCTGCAAAAGAGGCATAGTTGACCTTTTTACTCGGTGTTCCGTCATTGAGCACCTTGGTAACCTTCATCAGCTTGTCAAGGTTAACAGGCTGTGGCCCACTGCTGTGTGGTTCGTCATCAGCTGGCTCGAGCACCTGTGGCACTTCAATTCCTCTTAAACTCGACACGGGCACTGACGGCAGCTGCTGTGATTGCACGAACAGGGCATCCATCGCCCTTTCCGATTTCTCAAAGTCAAATCTGTCATACACTGACATTGTCTTGTCTCTGTAACCTTGGTTTCACGATATTGTAGGAGCAATTCAAAAACAAACAAACAAGCAAACAAGCAAGCAAACAAACAGCTCATCAGCCAGGCTGACACACAACCCTGCGAAACTGTGTGGTTTTTATGCTTTCTCGCCCACTCCACTGTGTAATCCCCCCAGGCCCAGTGCACGTCTTTGAAACCTTGATAACTCTCTGCCCTATGCACGCCATACATACAAACCTTAGAAAATTCCATCACCAAGTAACAAAATTTATAAGCACGATGCACCCAGGTCTGTAACTTTGCTGCAAAAGCCGCATTCTCCTAACTCAATTGGCCCATTCGGGTGCTGTTTTGGGTAAGAAATTTCTCAACGTTGTATGCGTGGCTTGTTGTTTCCTCATAAAACGTCCGCCTTGAGAGGTTCTCGAAGATGGCGAAGATGGCGAGGAGAGAAGGGAGAAGGAGAATGTGCATGGCCTGGAAGTTATTGCACCATCATAGGATGGAAAGTTTTGTTGATTGGTACCTTCTGCCAGGCAAATGGCACACGTCGGTCGCTTGCCCACGGGAGCTTGCCCAGTGGAGCTCGACGCAAATGGCAGCTTAATCTTTATGCCGAGCTTCAGATATCAAGAAATTATCTACGTAGTGTGGATAAAACCGTAAACGTTGTTGCAGCAGCACCCTTCCCTGCCCATTCACTGTGTGTAGAACGTACCAGCGTTGTGAAGAAACTGCACACAGTGACGGACTCGTAACTTTCCATCACTTCGTTGGCTGGCTGCCTGCCCTGAGGAAAGAGGTTTTGGTCCTCACGGCTTCACCACCACAAATCACACAACGATAAGCAGCCGTGTCTCAGAAAAGCGTGAAAAAATCTGTCTGGGCGTATGAGACATCGCCTGCTGGTGCACACAGCGTATTCGAACGTTCTAAACATGTTCACCTCACTTCCTCAAAACTGTTCAGCAGAATGTCTCCAGAAGTGAGCCCCTGCACAGGTCATTCGAAGCATCTAATCAACGCCTGTTGAGCGAGTCGAGGCGTTCGCCATGGGGGCAGTTGGTTTCAGATACATATCGCTATGCACACCTGTTGTTTTCTTGTGGAGTGCCAGCCACGGAGGGCCATAATGCAAGCGAACTAGAAACATCAGACTCCACACAGGTCACGACGACTTCTGTAGATTGATTCTGGGTGCTTCACGACGACGCTTGTATGGATTATTATTGGCTACACCCCTATCAGCCCCCGGTGTATGTACAGTTAACTATTTACGTGAGACAGTTGTAGCTAAGGAACTGATACGAGCCGGCAGAACTGGGCAGTTCAGGGGAAACGTCTGATGGTGTTGTAATTACGAAAAGCTCCCGGAAAGCTTGGGTTTTGAGACATGGGCACTTCCGTCGTATACTGCTTAACGTGTTGTATACAACTCGTAGATGGACACATGTCACTAGCACCATCTAATAACTTGCTCGATGGGAAGGTGTCGTTGAGACCACATCTACGAGCGCTCTTTTTCCGTGACTACAGCTGTTTGATCATGAGAGCTCGATCATGAGAGTTCGATCATGAGAGTTCGATCACGGGAGTTCGATCACGGGAGCTCGATCATGAGAGCTCGATCACGGGAGTTCGATCACGGGAGTTCGTATCTACCGAAAAAATAAAAACTCGAAAGTTGGAATATAAACCTAATGCTGCCAGTTTACGCTTCATAGTTTATCCGGACATTCACCTGAGAGCCTCCACTTTCCCACCAGGGTTTCAATCAGCTTTAACCTTCTCTGTAGCAGCTTGCGGGTGGTTTCTGAGATGAAATCTGCGCACACGGTAGTGGCCGAATCATTTTATGACTATTTCGGTGTTTGTCCGTTTTTCTTTTTGTTTTATGGCCTTGTTTTTCGCCTACGAGGAACCGAGGACTTTGAGTTGGTGTTCTTACATCATCGCACGATCATAGTGGACCGTCTTCCCGACGGTGAGCCTGAAATTGGGATGCACCAGTCTGATGAACTCATCGTTATAAGCTTTTACTCTTTACATTGTATGGCCTGATCGTTTAGGAGGGTCTTCGAACGTAGTCCTTAGGTGAGGCCGTCATAATGGTGCCAACACCTCCGTCAAGGTCATAGTGGATTGTTAGAATCGCTTACGGAGCTACGTGAAGTCGCAAGTCCGCTTGAGGCGTTAGGGACCAAACCAATAATGGCTCTGAATCTCAGAGTAATCCATTGGTTTGTGCAGTTATGGGTTTTTGAGCTCCGAACTCGTCAATTTTGTGTGTCAGTATGGTTAAAGCGTCCCTTATGAAGAGGCCATTCTAGCATAAAACAACGAGTTGGTAGGATGTGTGGAATCACGCAAATCGTGTAGAATACGTTAAATACCGTGTTCTGTTTTAGCAGAGGTATTGATGAGAATCCACATTCGACTTGTTGAGCAGTGTGCAAGTTGAGAACCTCTGTGAAAGATTCAGATGGAGGTTGTGACTGAAACAAGAGGTGAAGCGTGAAATGCTCTATACACTCTAGTATACTTACCAAAGTGCCTTCCAATATTTCCACAGCTACACTATGCTCTTGTAAGTGTTATTATAACGATTCAGTCCTTTGGTGAGGTCTAGACCTTTTCTATAGTGGAAGGTCACTATTAGGAGACATCCTCCACAATTACTTAAACAACATCGGTTTCCGCTGATCAGCTCTCACTTGCCCAATGTTTTCCAATAACGTGGAAATAATTCAGGATGGTGTTGATCCTAAGAGATAGTAAAAAGGGGTCTTATGGTCTAAGAATTTTAGAGGCTACTGTAGAGAGAAGGATCTGTATTCTAGCCACGTCTAACTTGCTATCTATTCAATCAGCGGGCCTAGACTTTTGGAGTGATATATGAACCTCTGCAGGAATACACTACTCGCATGGAACATGATCTAATAATTTGATGTACACTTTCATTTAAAAGACTTGCTTTGGTGATCTTTAACTGCAACTCGACCTCGGCAACTTTTGATTCAATCGGCATCTTTGGACCAATAAAACATTTCGATTTCTCCCTCCAACCGTCAGGCCCTATAATCTCACAATGAACTCCAGAATTACGTGTGCGGATCTACTTTGGCAGAACTCCATGTCAATCTGCCATCACAGAAGAGAAAGGATCGCATTCATGAAAGCAAACCCCCCTCCCCAAACTGTCTTGAGTGGTTTGTGCAGTGGTAAAAGGCCCAGCCTATTCAACACCACAACTTCATTCATCTCTGCAACCTGGATATTCTTAAAGACACAAGGCTGGGACTATCTTGCCATATGTCACAATGCATATCCACATCTTTGTAAGACTTCAAAATGTTGAGGCTCACTTGAACTTGGGCTGTATATGGTATGACTTTTACAATCACACACATGAAGCACCAAAGGGATTTTCATCAATCACACCCTTTGATTTGTTGGACCATGAGTCTAAACTCGCAAATCTTCAGCTCTACATGCATATCTTTCACCAAAGAGTAGATCAGTCCCAAAATTAAGCTTATTTTTACCGCACAGCCTCTCCTATGATGCCGTTGCCAATTATACCAGACTTAAAGACTCTCTTCTCACCATCTGATAAGATTCACTGGGCAAGCTTGGAAATATTCCAAGATAAAGGCTTTATAGATTTTCATTGATGTTTTTTAATATTTCTTTAATTATCTGTCCTAGAGAGAGCTGATGGCCCTAGTACATGTTTCCGGTGTCTCTCAAGCTAGTCTTCACCCCTGGGCACAGACACTCAGTCTGGAATACTGAGGACCCTCTTCAGGAGCGATCAGGAACGATGCAACCATATGTACACACTTTTTTTTGCTTGCGTTCATGCAAGGCTCATCAATTTTTTTGTTAGCAAAGCGTGCGTAGAATGTATGTGTTAGCCGTTAAAGAGAGATTTTTGTCCTTCAAGAGCTGAATTAACTATAGAATTGAGCCAATAAGAACTAAATCATTGAGCAGAGTGCTAATTAATTGACTCGTTTTGCAACCTGAATTGGACATATGGAACTATTTCAGTAAGCATAAACGATACTTCTGTGCCAGACGGTCAAATATGCATCCATAATTATAAATAGCCATGAAGTTCCCTAGACTACCCGCTTCGGCGTTTCTTTTGTAATATTATCGTTATCCACATAGCGATGAAACTATCAGATCTCTTCTTAGCACTTCTTTTGGTGGTCAATGTGTTCGCCAGTCATCCAACAAAGACTGAACAGAGAGGTACTCGCCCAAAGTTGGCATTAAATGCATGCCAAAACGTCGTCAATAAGATGAAATGGGCCTACAACTCAACAGGCGGTGGAAGGAACTATGGCACTATATGTAACTATCCACCAGCTGTTGGAACCATCACCAATTGTTTCGCAAACATTTTTGGCCCCTTCACTAAGAATTTTAACAAGACTGTAGGCCGTTTGTCTCTGACCTGTGAGACTCGTGGAAGCGATACTGTCATTCACGAAAAGCAGTTTTACATTGATCAATTTCTGAATGCCACCGGACATTTTGGGTCAACGGAGGGCTTGAATCTCACAGTGACGAAGTTGACTTTCCCTGTTGATATTCCCCATAACGTTACCAAGCCATATTACGACTATACAAAGTTTACTCTCTACAATTGGGATATGCCAAATGTATTTGCCGGTATCTATTACTGCTACTTCATTTTTGTATTCCTCATTGTGGGTATTGTGAACTATATGAAACGACTAGGTTACCAGGGGTCGCTAAACAATAAGTGGATTACGCTATACAGAAAACACATCAGCATTCCTGCGTTGTTCAATCAGAACCATACAAACGCCCCTGTGTACTTCAAGTTTGTATCAACGCTGGTTCCAACAAGAGTTGAGACGTTAATCATATTCTTCTTTGTATGTCTCAACATTCTCCTGGCAACTGTTCATTACAATGTGAGTACACTTTACAACTCTCGCCGTTTACAATTAACAATGTTGGTTGCTGATCGAACAGCACTGCTTGCCTTTGGTATGATTCCACTGCTGGTTCTATTTGCTGGCAGAAACAATCTAATGATTAGATTGACTGGTATTCCTTACACCTCATTCATAATGTTCCACAAATGGGTCTCAAGAATGATGTTCCTCTACGCTTTGATACATTCAGCCTGCTGGACTGACTACGCAGTTTCACGGCATTATATGAGTGCTTACGTTGCCCGCAGATACTGGAGATGGGGTATCGTTGCGACAACTCTTGCCGGCTTGTTGTGCTTCCAAGCATTTCATATGTTCAGAACTATGAGTTATGAAAGCTTTCTCTTCATCCACATTGTCTTTGCGTCCCTTTTCCTGGTTGGCTGTTGGTGGCACTGTTACGATTTTGGATACTTGGAATGGATTTATGCATCAATAGCTCTTTGGTGTACTGACAGATTGGTAAGAATCTTCAAAATGATCACCTTTGGTTATAGAAATGCAGATGTTGAATACATAAGTGATGGCACCTTCAAAGTTTCTGTTCAAAAAGGTGCATTTTTCCACTCTTATCCGGGTGCATATGCCTTCCTTTATTTCTTGACACCATATGGGTTTTGGCAATCACATCCTTTCACGATTATTGAGTCTGCTCTGAAAGAAGGAGAAATCACAGTTTACATCAAAGCAAAGAAAGGCATGACCAAGTATATCAAGAACAAGTGCATCAAGGCTGGAGGGAAGGCTTCCATTCGAGTCTCAGTGGAAGGGCCATATGGACATCATGCACCAAGTCACAAGTACGACACGGCACTTTTGTTGGCTGGTGGTAGTGGAATCCCAGGTCCCTATCACCATGCAGTTGATTTGGCAAAGAGGGATTCTAATCAACAGATCAAATTGTCATGGACCATTCGTAACCCAGAATCTTTGTGCTGGTTCTACAAAGAGCTGATGATGTTACGTGGTACAAAAGTCCAATGCGATATCTATATAACTGGTACTGTTACAGAGTTCGTTAAAGAGACTGGTCAGGATAAAGAAAAGGCTTCGAGCTCTGCGAGTGATAGCGACACCAGCTTGAGTCCGCAGGGTTGTATTGAAGAGCTTTCCAAATTCATCACTTTTCATTATGAAAGACCAAGCCTTGAGGACTTCTTGGTGACGGAATTCACTGCTGAAAACCAAGGAACAATCTGCGTTATGACCTGTGGTCCGCCAAGAATGGTTGACGATATTCGTAAATTTGTTGGTCAAAACTTGGACAAGTGTCCCAAGAGAGTTGATCTCTTTGAGGAACTGCAGGTTTGGTAAATTATTAATTCATCTTATACAGTTATACAGTTATACTATGGTTTGCTACAATATATGGATTTGAACATGTTCTCTAGATTAGTCAACTGTTTGGCAATATGCACGGCCACTTTTTATAAGGTGATAGGTGAAACGAGAAATTCAAAGGGAAGATTCAACATCAACACCAAAGTTGGACCATTACACCAATCTTTCAGTACATTCCTGTACTTTTCCTTCGTGTTTTCCAAAACAATTCTATTGTTTGTCGCTGTAAGATCTCTCAAAATGTTGATACTTTCTGTTAAGCTTAGGAACTTGATTTGATGTAGAGACTCTCTAGTGAAAATAAACTCTCTAAAGCATATATTATCGATCCTCTTGCAAACTGGTAGACACTGATGTAAGTATCTAGAAAACAGTTGTAAACAGAGTAGGAAAACGACAGTCAAGTCTCAGTAACCTTCATAAAATTGCACCTACTAATCAAATTCCAAGGTCGTTGTGCATTGTAATCCGAGCCCAAATGACACATTCCCAATCCTGAAGTGGTGTTGTTAATCCACAAGAGTACAATAGTTTGTATAGTTCTTATATCTCATCCCTTTGCTTAACAATAATTTTTGAAAATGTATATTTTCTGGTATCATTATTAATGAGTTTTTCTATAGCTAAATGAACATGGGAATATTAATCAGAAAATAAATTTTAACACCAGATTAATTATATTAAATCTTTTGAGTATTTCATTTAAATAGTTTAGTATTCAGTAAATTGTCCATTAACACCTCATGTACCAAGATGATTCACAATCGTTGAATAGATAACCAACTATATTATAACCGCAATAATGATCATTACATACGTCTGTAAAATCACTAATGTCCGGGTGTTTAGGTGTCCGGATGTTTCCCAGAATTGGTGGAGCGCCCAACTTCATCATCAGGACTCTTTAGCAAGCCAGCACATTTAATGTCCCTAGAGCAACATCTTAACCATGGCCAGAGCTGTAATTCCCCTAGAGTCTAACCCTGAGATATTCTCAACGTTTGCACATAACCTCGGGCTGTCTCAGAAGTACAGTTTCCATGACGTTTATTCGTTGACGGATAAAGATCTCTTATCCTTCATTCCTAGGCCATGTCAAGCCATAATCATGTTGTTCCCTGTAACTGAGGCATACGAGTCTGTAAAGGACTCAGAGGAGTCTTCAAGAAGTCATGATGCTAATGATGTTATCTGGTTCAAGCAAACAGTTAAGAATGCTTGTGGGTTATATGCTCTATTGAACTCCATTTCCAATCTGGACGACAATGACTTTGAATCGAACTCTACAATCGCCAAATTCAAGCTCGCACATAACAATACTGGTAAAGTTGAGCACTTGATTGATGAGCTGGAGAGACAATACACTGATATTGCCAACCAAGGAGAGACAGATGCACCAGATGCTAATGACGATGTTAGCACTCATTTCATTGCCTTCATTAAGAAGAACGGACATTTGTACGAATTGGATGGAAGAAGACAAAGTGCACTAGATTTAGGACAACAGACCAATGATGGCGATGTTCTTGAAGAGCCTGGATTGGCACAGAGATTCCAACACTACGTTGACTTAACCGATGAAGCGAATAAGAATAACTTTTCCTTGATGGCTCTTGCTCCGTCATTTGACTAATTAAGCTATATATGCATATACACGAAAATTCTGCTAAGATGTAGTGAATGACAAGAAAACACGAGTTCAAACCATTTTATGAATCAGAAGTCAAAAAGCGACCATAGGTATTCATCCAGAAGAGTGAAAAAAGAACAAAAAAAACATAAAGATACTCACTATATTAGTCCCCGGAACCCACTCTTTTATACTTGTCCTTTAATATCAACCTTCTTTACTTTCTGTAACGAATTCAAAACCGTTGATCTTGCATCAGCTGCTTTCAAAATGATACTTTCACCTTTCAGTTCGATAAACTTATCGAGCTGCTTATCAGTGATAAAATCCATACAGTCACTCTCCCCCTGGAAATGAAACTCATTCAGTAAGAACTCCAAGTTTATCTGCTTATAAGCAGTACAAATCACAGAGAGTGCCTTAACTCTCTCATTGTTGATAAAACATTCGATTAGGAGCTTTGTGGTCCCTTTAGTCTTGGAGTACAGGCTGAATAGCATGTGGTAATTCTTAGACAACTTAGCCTTTATGATTTCTAGAGCCGGTTTTATGAAGTCATTCCCACGATCGTTAGGTTGCAATTTGAGCTTTACTTCAGTTATTGAATCGTAATTGTTTGTGAACAGGTAATAAATCAAGGCATAGCTCAAAAATTCTAGCTTATTAGTAGATCCATTCTTACTCTGTTTAATGTGGGGCTGCTCATAAAGCTTCTTCAAGACGGACTGACATTGGTTGAATTCACCAAGATCCGAGTTCTCGATGGCTATACGTCCGTGTGTTTCGTACACCTTGACTGTAAAGTCATCTTCAATCAGTTGAACAGTCAAATCCTGTCTCAGGGCCTTCAATTGATCACAGAGATATGTGTACTTCACACCACTCTTATACTTGTGCATGAGCCTGTTGAGAGCTTTCACCAATATGCCATAGGGGCGTACTTTAGACGGATCAGGTGCACTGGTCAACCTTAGATAGCTCTTCTCCAGATCTGTGCACGTTCCAATGATTGGTTTATTCTTATCAAACTTGTACTCTTCCCGGTTAATATTCTGGAAGTCAAGCGTCTCATTATGATTCAGCTCCCTTTCAAATCGCTGTGCACGGAGTCTCTTCCTATCGTTGGATGTCATTTCATCTTCTTTCGATGCCACAGTGGCCCTTTTATTCTTCACAGTCCTTTGAGCACTCGCCTGCTTCGACTGGCTGGTGGCTTGGTTACACTTCAACTCTAAGATCGACCCTCGGTTGAGGATTGGAATGCTCTGTCCACTCCAGTCGTTGCTCCAGAGCTTGCCCGTGTTGTTGGCCTTCTCTATCAACACCTGCAGCTCATGCTGTAGCTGAGCCATCTGTTCAGGGCTGAACGATCTCTGTAGAGCATCAGCATAACATGTCTGAACCCATGCTGTCAAGCTGGCAGGGAACACCTGTTGTTCTTGTGGCTCTTGACTCTGCTGTTGAGAGCCACCAACATTAGTCTTTCCTCTCTTGCCTCCAAGACCAGTAGGAGTCACCTGGTTATACGTATTCATCTTGTTATTTACTCTGCACGCAACAGCTTACCCTATGCCTCTGGTTCAAATGCCTCTCCCTGGGTTCTATCGCAGCCTCTGTCCCCAGCAACTTGTGTCTCGTCCTAGGCCCTGCTCCTACTAGCGGATGAGGTCCACAGGGGGAAGTCCACACAGTGGGAAGAAAAAGCTGTGAGCCTAGGCGAGCAGATTTGACTGCGAAAATTACCGCTTTCAGCAGTTTCACTACACATATTGCAGAAGACGTCTAGCTGTAATGTATGGGAATTGAGTCTCTTCTATACGGTGTATAAACGGATGGATCTCATCCTAGGAATATATATCTGTGAAGTTTTTATCGGTGTACGAGAAACCTTTGAAGGCGTCTTCGAAGGGCTGCTGCTTCTGTGGGTTGTTAATGGTGAGACCAGCTCTATGGGAACCAACCGGTGAGATTGGCAGGCCAGTGAATTCAGAATCGAAGTTCTCTGCGAGTTGTGGATCCGTGACTATTGGGACGATTGGAGGCTCAAAGTTGCGTTCGAGTATATCTTTCCAGTTGACGTTTCTGAAGAAAGGGTGCTTCTTGAGGGCTTCGATGTCGGTCAGTCTCTTCTGTGGACTCTTCTTCAAGAGACGTAGCAACAAGTCCTTGGCCTCTTGGGAGAGATAGAATGGAATCTTGAGCTTATTGGCAACGATCTTGTCGTAGATTTTCTTGTTGTTATTACCAGTGAACGGTGGAGAACCTGTGAGCATGTCAAACATGACACAGCCGAGGGACCAGAAGTCCACGGAATAGTCATATGGTATATCTTGCAAGATCTCAGGTGCCATATATTCGGGAGTTCCAATTAATGAAGTGCACAGCTCCTCATCGTTCAACCCAACTTTACTCAGTCCAAAATCTGTCAAGATGAGATATCCATCTTCGTCCAATAGACAGTTTTCAGGCTTGAGATCCCTGTAAACTATACCGATTTTGTGCAAATGCTCAAGTGCAAGTACCATCTGGGCCAAGTATATAGATGCCTTCGCCTCACCTAGAAACTTCTCCAGCTGTAAATGTTGGAACAGCTCCCCTCCTTGTAAATACTCAAGAATCAGATATAGCTTGGAGTCATCTTGAAAGGCATAGTACAGCTTCACAATAAATGGATGTTTAACGCTCTCCAAGATGGTCTTTTCGTTGATGGTTCTTTCAACGGTCTTGGACTGAATGATCAGAGATGCCTTCTTCAGCTGCTTCTGTGCAAATAGCTTACCAGTTTTCTTTTCTCTAACAAGTAACACTTTTCCATACGAGCCAACTCCGAGGACCTTGATACATTCGAAATCGCTTGGTCTCGGCTTCCCCAACCGAGGCTCATCATCCTCAACCTCATCTTCGATGAAATCGTCATCGATTCCAATCTCAAAGCTGGTTCCTAGACGATGTTGAGGAGTGTTTCTGTTCGATGCAGAGCTTCTTCTTCTGGCACGGTCTGATGGGATAGCTAAGGGTTCAGAGACAGTGAGACTATCGTGGAAGTCTTGGTAAAGGGCCTCTTCATCGCCCTCTTCATCTAATTTGAACACGCTCATGCTTCTTAGACACGTGTCTATTGCTTAATGTCGATCTATGATATCACAGAACAGAACGCTTACCACTTTTCTTTATAACACCAAATGTTTCCACTCTCCAATCACACCAAGAACACCAATGTGAATATATACAGGTCGGTATTAAAGCTGCAAATCGGTACACTGATGTGTGTGAATTTCCCACTACGAAACGGTGGATGCACAAATTTGTAACGTGAAAAGTTGTTTAAAAACACGGTTGTCGTGGCAACCTTACATACCAACAAAATCACAACGAAATGACGCTAAGCTTGCGAAATCAGTTCCATCGTAACAATTGGAGCAATGGTTGGCCCCTTAGCTTCAAGTCTACTGTCATCAATGTATTTTTTATAGCTTTTCAGCTGTTCGGAGCCTCATGTTTAAGGATCTTGAACTTTGAAAAAAAATATTCCGGTACGGGGAATCGAACCCCGGGCTGGTCGGTGAGAGCGACCGATGTTAGCCACTACACCATGCCGGATCTTGTTGTTTTTGAGATATTTCTTGTTCCATACACCACCAAATATAACTGAATTCAGAACTTCCAGTTATGGCTTCCTATTATTGTGCTTTGGCTCATTCTTTCTCTCTGCTAATCCTGAGTTCAGGGTCGGAGGTTTATACTGAGCTCGTGGTTCTGAGCTTGTGGTCCTTGCATCAGAGTGGCTCTCTTTGTTAAACATATACTTGCCTTAAAGCAATTCAATTTTATCTTATATAACCTTCCTCTGATTTCTTCTCTTCTTCCAACATCTCCAAATCTCGAGCGTCCACTCTTTCTTTCATACTCTCTCCTCCAGTATTTCTTTCTAAATCTTCTAGATCAGCACTGTTATCTGAGATATCGAGGGATTACTCCATTGGTCATCTTGGCCGAGTATAACCTCGTCTTCTCCATCATATTCCAACCTACTTTGATACTGTTTTCGATCATGAGTTCTACGCAATCCGTAATCCGGTTGTGAATATTCACAGTTGCCTTCAAGAGGCTGCCACGCTGTACTCTCAATGAGATGAAGAGTAATCGCATTGGAATAGTTATAATGCCACAATGTTATGCCATCTTTGCTCGATGAGAGCCAATGATATATGATCTGGTTTGAAGAATAACAGGAGACGGGTCTCAGAAGCTGTGGCGCCGTATGTCACAGCTGTGTAGAGTTGTGCAGTTTCCTAATAACTATGTCTCAAGATGTCAGCATTCGACTCGAAAGCCATGTTGAATGTCCAGTATGTATCATGAGAACACCTGCACACCCCTGCCAGAGGATTACGACCGTAAAGTATGCCAGGCATATTTCATTAGTATACTTGGTCATTCCCATAATTTCACAACCCAAAATAACTTAATCACGCTCTTCCCATTGGTTGTTTCAATTGTGGGCAATAAAACATACTAAACTGTCGATCTTAATGTACATGGACCCTAACAACTGTTGGGCCATTATCGAGACACGGGAAATATTCGGGATATCTTTGGCCACTTGCGCAGATGAATTTAAAGTTATGAGCGATCATCCCATTGGTTGAAATATAGAAAAAGTGAGGTGCATTGTTCTAGTTCACCGAAGGGGGACTACACCAAAAACATAATGCACACCCGAATGTCGTCTGCACGTAATGCTAATGGGGGTCTACACTCCGCATACACATTCTTGTATTGAATCGCATGACTGAAACCTTTTCCTGCTCAAAAGCCTTCAAGTGACTGTTTAAAAACTAGAGCCGAGCTATAGGTCAATCTATTTCAAGTTCTTCATATCATCCAGGAAGACTGAGATTTCTTGGTAAGAAAAGACCTGGGTATGTTTGAAGGGTTCAAAATGGCTTTATTTTTTGGCTCGTTGCGTCCTGTATCTTAGGCCTTGCACAAAAAATATTTTTATTTGTGCCGTAGCGCTCTTAAATGTAGTACGACATATGAACAGCCTTGTAATTTAAGTATTGTTATTATTTAGTCAATAGTCCTCAAGCTCTAGTCTGTAATGCGTAGTTTAGACATATACATTTCAGAGACTAGAAGGTTAATTGTCGAACCAGACGTACTTAGCTTGAATGATCAATGATTGGAAAAGGCTTCAACTTCACAAAAATCTTCAGAAACTGGAGTTGAGGCTTTATTATGCAATGTAACTTCAACAAATATGAATTATGTCTAGACTATGGACCTATTTATAGGTGCCGTTATGCAACGCCGTTCTGAAAAATCGGTGAAAGGGTTGAAGTCTTTGACAATTCATCCAATAAACTTGGATGCTTTTCAATTGGAGCATGTTGGATATTAAATAACTTCACTTTTAGATTAGCAAATCTTGGGTGTTTTAATTTGCTTTGCCTTACTTTGCTAGTGTATTACACTGTATAATAATATCTTAATGCAGAGTGCTATTTGTTGAAAAAAATCAATTATTAGTCGTATCTGATCGGATCGGACCAAATATCGGTTATTAGCTGATTCACCATCAATGTTTTGAGTAATTATATTGCCTACGTCGTTTCGAACATTAGATGTACTTGATTGGAATAATAATGTTCCATCAAACTATGAACACTCAACTCATTGGTATCTATTAAGACCTGTAGCTTCGGAGACTTTTACCACTCAGAAGTATGTCTGCATAAGTACAATGTGTGAAACAGCTATTAGATAATGTTCCATTTTGACTTATACCAAGACTGTTGTCAAGTAGCTTGTCTTGGACAAAATATACAATATTTCAGGCCGTACAAATTAATTATTTTCGATATGTAACCTTAAAGTTTGGTGCGTCATTCCACGAAGAAAAGAAAGCTCTAGAAGTGATCATAACTTTCCCTGTTAGCCACAGCATTCCCTTTTCTTTAAATAACATGCCTCAATTGTAGTTCTAAAAGTTTTGTCCACGATGTCATTGGTTATAACTTTTTGATTTCGCATGAGGTACGATGGGTTGTTTCTGCAAAAAAAGATATAGACATGAACTATCACCTCCCAACTTTGTTTCTATCGGAGCCAATATGAAGACGTTTATTAATGCTTCGCACTTGGTTTTGATTGAATAGACAATTTGACCCATTTCATGAATCTTAACCAATGGAATGGTGGGGTCACGATAGGGGACAGTGTGCATTTCTGCTCACCCTGCATATACTACTGAAGTAATGAGGACTCTAACCTGAGATTTCAGCGCTCACCAGTCCTTGCCAACACTGAGGATACATGACGAGAAATTGGAGCCAGAATTCGTCTTAAATCATATCTGCAGAAGATAGTCTCAGCGCCTCGAGACTACAAACTTTTTAGCAGCACATATTGAGTTAAACAGTTCTCTAAAATGGTCTATATTGTAGCTTGGTGTTTCACTGAGTTGGATCTAGGGTTTTAACAAATACCGAGAATGGTAAATAATTAGAGCTTTCACATTTACAGCCTTGACATTCGTACCTCAATGATTACTTAGGCCAAGTACCAGCTAATAGACTAGTCGGACTAGGATGACTAGACTGTCCTACTACCCAACATACTTGGACTGACGAGGCTTAGACACACACATGCACTGACATGCATTGTACGTGCTGTACGGGGTTAAACGTAGCACTTCGCATACGGATCTGATAAATTTTATCAGATTCATCAGACCGATGAAACATCAAAAAATTTCTCTTGGTAAGCCTTGGCCAGCCTTGGCTTTAATGATATGGCCATATATGTAGGTGTTTATGTAACCCTCTGCACCTGGAGAGCATTGGATACAAAAAAAGAACGTAGAGAACACCGGCAACAGCCAATCAAATGGAAGAGTTGAGCCGTTGTTCATATCATTGCACACTTTCAGAACCAGGGCATTCGACGTAGATGAGGTGATGATTCTTCATTTAGAAAAAAAAAAACCACTTCCTTTTTTCGAGAGTCTGGAAAGACGTATAGCTGAGATACGTCAGTGAATATTGCATACAATTGTGATTACGTACGCGCATTGGGGAAAAAGAATTATCAGACCCTTCACTTTTGAACGCTACATTCATACTGTAGAAGACCCCGGTCAATTGGTGATATTTCAGAAGGTGGACTATAAAAAATTTGCAAGTATGAACAAATAGGTGTTGCATAAGCGTAATCGTCAACAGGCTGTTTTCACAAGGTAAAAATGATAGATTCGAAAGAAATTGGAGGCTTTTCAGGACCAAACACAGGAAAGTTTTAGAAACACAAATCATTACACATTCTTAAAGATTTTGAGTGCTCTATAGAACACAACCATTTGCGAATGAGGCATTAGGATAACATTTTGAGTGGTCTGCAAGCTGAGGTGACTTTTCGGATTTATGAATTTTGGCGAAACCTCAAAACAGAATGAGAAAAACAGAAAAAGAGGCTGACAATAAAACAGTAGGACATCCTAAGACTCCTAGTCCTATTAGAAGTTTGATATTTTTAGTCCTCAAGACCCAGAAATAATATTGCTTTCTAATTTCAATTTTGATTGATATGCAGAGTTCATACAGCAATATTTTCAAATTATGGTGATATACAATGAGATGTAGGCTTAATACTCAACCTATAGAGACTCTACAATTAGAGTACTACTGTTGTAAGAAGAGCAGGAATATCGATTTATTAGCCTATATTCTGTTCCAAGAAACAAACTACTTTAGTTATAAAAGATGGACCCGTTTCAACTACGAGAAATCTCGCACATTTATTCATTGAAGAGATAGTTCAGAATGAAATTATTAGGAGTTTTGGGGGTCCAACCTAATGATCGTACAAGTGGCCGTTGTTAATCCTGGAAGAGTATAGACCATCCAGGGAAGCTTTATACTATGGTATTTTTTGTTTCTACCTATCAACTGTTGGAACGCTGTCAATTTGCTTTGCAAAAGTTTTTCGAGAATACTCAAACAGTTTTAATAGCACTATCAAAACCGTGACGGATATTTGTGCTCTTTGTAGTGGCTCACCATATCGGAAGGGCTATTATTTTGATCAGCCTGCAAATACAACAAGTCATATTGAGTCTCTTGGAGGTATCAATCTCACAAGCACGTTTCTTCATGTACCATTCAGTATTCCAAAGAATGAGACTTATATTTACTCCAAGTTTTACAGGAGTAGATACTATGACTGGGATATGCCTAGTATGTTTGCAGGTATCTTCTATTGTTACTTCATCTTTGTTTTCCTGATGGTTGGAGCAGTGAATTATTTGAAGAGGCTCGGTTACCCAAACTCTCTGAACAACAAATGGATTAACATGTATAGAAAGTATGTTTCTATTCCTGCATTGTTCAACAAGCATCATACAGAGGTGCCTGTCTTCTTAAAAGTCTTCTTCACATTGGTTCCAACTCGTTCAGAGACGATTATCATATTCTTCTTTATTTGTTTGAGTATTGTTCTTGGAATTGTTCACTGTGGTGTTATTACCATCTTCAACTGTGGACGAACTTAATATACTTGTTGCTGACTGTACTGGATTGCTTGTGACGGAATCCACACAGGAGAACCATGGAACCATTGGTGTGATGTCTTGTGGACCACCAAAGATGGTTGGTGAGATTTATAAGCTGTTAAAGCTTTGAGAAGCATACCAGTATGGTTGGTTTGTTTGAGGAGTTACAAATTCGGTAAGCCATCTGCTAGCGTACAGTTCTTTAAAGGAATATATTTATGCAAATATTTGATATACCAATACCACTATTGGTTAATAAACAGATGAAAACCATAAATATGAGACCTCATTGCTCTTGCGGTTCATTGTTGTAATCTGATGACGAATTACCTCTGGTCGAAACGCTTAGATCGGATAATGGTGTCTGTAAAAACTTCACACATACTAAGTAACATGTTTCACTACATGTACAGGGCGACAAAGGAAGAAGATTAAAAGAAGCTCCGAGTGGTCACTGGTTCCATGACTTGGTAAAAACTTCTTCAATGGCCATAAGGAATGATGTCTCATTGGTGCTTACCAGCCAGGAAACATGCCTTAGCCCTGGCTCATTCCTAGTCTAGGTCAATTGATTTCGGAAACCGGCGCAAATCCTACAACAGAATTAGATTCAAGGCGTAAGGTTCCCAAGGTGAAAACATGCAAGGTACATAGTTCCTTTTAAAATTCATTAGCCCAATTTAAGTTGTCTTGAATCCGGTTTTTGAAAGGTGATTTCACTTGTGCAACTTTACGGGCCAATCGCAATGATTCAAATGCTGTTTTTCTTGCATATGCTATTTTATCTTAATTTTGGAACTGCAAGATTTCAGCTTAGAGTAAATAGAATGCCCATCTAGGTATACCCTGGAGCTTGGTCAATTGGTTTGTTGTTGATCCAGCGAACAGTCTAGTGAATATTGGCATATTCAAATAAGGGGATACTCCCAGGACAGCAATTGTCAAGCAAAAATTCACCGTGTATAATCTATTAGGTGACCCAGATGATGTTTCAACTGGACTATTCTGTTGGAATTTGAAACATGGACAGATGGGCAGAGTTCCCATGTTGCGTTGTTATGCCAACGCCTTGTGAATGGGCTGTAGCATTAGCAATGCTGTAGAGAGCTATAGCCATACTTCATATTATCTGATTTATGAGCTCACACGATGCCGCATGGGTGTGCAGATATTTGTAATTTGGACGCTTGGTTCTGGTTCGGGTCAATGTAGCTCTCGTAAACTCATTAGACGTTCACACGATTGGCTAATTATAGGGCACCTAGAGACTTGAGATGGTTATGGTTATGCAGGATGCTTATTTTGAAAATATTCAGGTGATACAGTGCTTTTCAAGCTTCCTTAATTGTCCTCTCCTGTCTTAAGGTTTGAGTCCCAGTGAATAAACGCAGAGCCAATGACATGACCCTGGAATTTGTAGTAATCCGGATTCTGCGCGACGTTGATGAGGACTACCGCAAATCTTGTCCACTCTAAGGATGTATACCCGATTGAATGGAAACCTTTAACTGAGAAAGCATATAGTTGATATGGTGCCTATCATATAGTGATTCAGAGTTTCCATTCAGGTTAGGGATACATATTTACTATACGATTGTTGACATGTGTGCTTTACGAAGCTCCTTAAACAAGAGATACCTTTACACTGTTAAAAATTTTAATAACCAGATGGGCGACATCCAACCAGCTGCGTTCAATTTTAGAGCAAGGCCGATAGTCCGGGGGTGGGGGGGGGGGGTTCAGTCCACCTGGTCAAAAAGCCCTGTCGGATATTTTTCATTATGTCCATGGTTTATCAGATCCATCTGATCATTCGAGCTGCAGGCGTCTTGCCAACAAAAATTAAGCTTAAAAAATTCAACGGTTCGCAGTCGGCTTGGCGCCTTGGCTGCTGTTTT